ATGCCACAGCTTTGTTTCTCATACTTTGGACACGAGGCGAGGAGAGGCTATTCCTTGAAAAGGGACATCATCCTTAGAAAAGTGCCTCGTGCTTAGAAAGATGGAGGGTTATGAAAGAATTTTTCTTTTACTTTTCAAAGAGAAGAGTGAATTGGGTGGGAGGGAGAGAAATGCAACAATGAATGAGTGGAAATCCAAAATCTCTGTAAACGTTCATTAAATTTAAAAAGTAAAAAAGAAAGAAAGATGGAGGGTTGGTAAAAAAAAGGAGGGTCCCAACCAGACAGATTGACACAAATGACTGCAGCAGTGGGCTCACGTGTGTCAGAGACGATGAGAATGGTACTGATAGGACAGGGTTCAGGTCTGTTTATTTTAGGGTCACTGTGAGTCATACTCTACTCTGTGACACTTAACAGCAACAACAGCAGGTTCAGAAATACGTTCCTTCTTATTATCACCAGCTACCAAGTCTGTCCTGACTTCCAGGACCCATGAACTTGATCTGAGCCAGCCCCACCGTTGTTTGCAGATCAGATGAACCGCAGATCCACAGGTTATGATTTTTACAAGTAGCTTCCCTGGCCTCTCTTCCCTTGGCTCAGCTTAGTTTGGAATCTCCTCTACAATTTGTTCAGTATCATTGCAGCACTCAAGCAAATGCTCATCTCCCAAGGGAAAGGTCGACTTTTTAAATTATTATCATTTCTTTTTATTTTTTTTTTGTATATACACCATGAAATCAGATCTGACAGGAGGAGATTGTCCCTCCTTCTCCAGCAGAGCATCTGGTGGATTCGAACCACGCACCTCTGGGATTGCAGTGCAGCTTCTTGCCAGTAGGCCAACAGAGCAGGAAAGGTTGACTTTTACCACAATTAATTCCTCATGAGAGAGCTCTGGTGGCTTAGTGGTAAGGAGCGCCGCTGCCAGTCCAAAGGAAAGAGGTTCTAATCAGCTAGTTGCTCTTCAGGGGAAAGATGGGCGTTCTCCTCCTATACCACTAACTGCTCTGAAAAGCTGCTGGAAGGCCAGTTATGAGTTGGTTCTGACTTGATGGTACGTAACAAGTACAATTGTCGTAAGGTTTCCCTTACAGTTTGAATATATTGTGCCTTGTATTTGGAAGTCATGGTTTTCTGTGAGTCTCAGATGTCTCTGCAGAAGTCTCGGGCTGCACGCTGCTGGTCTCTGTGTCCGTCCCACCGTTCACCCGATCCCGGAAGCTAGCACCGTGTTTTCATAGCACCTTGACACTAAGTACACTCATTAGACCCTGATCTCATGGTTTTGCCTTGATAAAGACAAAAATGTATATCATCTTCACCCAGTACTTGCATTCCTGTTCTCCCTGCCATCTTTTTAGGCCAGGTTCATTGTGAGTGTAGGGAGTATTTGGCTTTATGAAAACTAGCACTAAGCTCCTGTTAAAAGGTTTAGCATTGCAGCACTGTGTGTGAGCCCGGGCTTTAGAAACAGACAGACCTGAATTCACCCCCTTTCCCCCACCCTGTACGTCTGCACCTTTCCTTAGGTGGATATTTAATTCCTCAGATAGTCTTTCCCTTCATGTGTAAAATCTGGGTAATGGTTGCCTTACTGAATGAAAGTTATTCATGGAACGGTTAGCACAGTGGCTTATGTAGTGTTAACTTCTAATAAACGGTATCTGCTATTGTTATTATTATCTTGTTAAACAGAACATTGAAAATACCTTAATGAGGGGGGAAATTCAGTGATAAAATGAAAAACTTTAATGCCATGTTCATTTTTCTCCATATCAAAACTTTTCTTCTAAAAAAAATTCATCTTCTTTCTTTTTAAAAATTGGATATGTTGATGAACATTGAAATTCCTTAAGTAAAGGTATTTAGAGGGAGAAATTAAAAGCAAATTAAGTTAAAATAAGCTAGAAATCTTTCAAATATATAAATATAAATACAAAAGATATGTAGGTTATTAAATGGGAAATTAATTTGCTAGTTAAATTTGCACGCAAACCATGCTTTGATGTATCCAGGGGACAAGCTTAAGTGTATCATAGTGACAGACAGGGTGGGCTCCTTAGTTGCATATCTGATGCTGTCCAAATGTGAACAACGATGAACTTCTCTCTGCTTTGCTGTCCTCTTCTGTAAGTGGAGACAGTAATTCTGCTACTTTTTGAGGCTATTGCTTGTTGCCTTCAAGGCGTGGTGACCACATGCGAGTCAGATAGAACTTCTCCTCGGGCTTTTCCAGCCTGAGACCTTTCAGAAACACATCACCATGTTCTCTAGGCCAAGACTCAGGTAGCTTCTTTCCTGGCTGAAAAATTGAGCCCAGAGGAGATGGGGCTTCCCTGCTGTCGATTTTATGGCCATGAGATCAAGCCAGCAGGAGATTTGGGGCTGAGGGGAGGGGGCGGGGAAGAGGGAGTGCAAAGCTTAACAAGAATGAAGATAAGTCAGGGACTTAAATGAAGAACTAGAGTTGATTTAGTATGTTTGAGAGATGAATGGGTCATCCTCTGTGAGTGGAGAGGACCTCGTGGGGTTTAAGGTCTTGGTCTTTGTAAGACTTCATTAAATAGAAGTAAATTAGAGGGATGATATGCTTGTGTTGGTGCTCACTATTCATCTGTCTCTTGGGTGAGGGGTGTGGGGAGTATGAAGTGCTGGGTGTTACAGCATCTGCTGAGTCCTAACCTGGCAATCTTCATGGTGATTGTAAACTGTCAGGGTGCCAGTGGGAGTGAGTTTTACCTATTCAGTCTGGATGCTGAGCAGATTATTCGAGAAGCTGGATTCTGTGAAGAAGAATGTGGCATCAAGATTGCAGAAGACGCATTAATAACTTCTGGTATGCAGATGACACAATCTTGTATGCTGAACGTGAAAACTTGAAGCTCTTGTCACAGAAGATCAAACACTGCAGCCTTCAATATGGATTAGATCTCAATGTCAAAAAGATAAAAATTCTCACCACTGGACCTATAGGTGACATCATAATAGATGGAGGAAAAAAAGATTGACACTGTTACCAACTTCATTTTACTTGGAAGCGCAGTCAGTGCACTTGGTAGCCCAGTCAGGAGATCAGGAGATGCATTGGATTGGGAAAGTCTGCGTTCAGGGATCTTGCCAGAGTTCTTAGGATCAATGGTGTTAGTTTGAGGACTGTGGTGCACTTGATTCGGATCATGATCTTTTCAGTCACTTGCTATGCTATGAAAAGCTATACAATGAATAATGATGTTGTTGTTGTTGTTATGTGCCGTCGAGTCGCCTGCGACTCATAGCGACCCTGTGTACAACAGCCCTAAACTCCGCTCTGTCCTGTGCCAATCGCATTGTCTCTGACACCACCATCCCAATTATCCCAGTCACTGAATCAATCCACCTCATAGAGGACCTTCCCCTCCTGCGCCGTCCCTCCACCCTCCCAAGCATGATGTCCTTCTCCAAGGACCGGTCTCTCCTCACAACATGTCCAAAGTATGTTAGACGGAGCCTCAGAATCCTTGCCTCCAGGGAGCCACCCAGTTTAACCCTTTCCAGGACAAATCAGTTTGTTTTCCTAGCAGTCCATGGTATTCTCAACAGAAGAAAAAAATTGATGTCTCTGACATCAATGGAGAAGAGTACTGAATATGTCATGGACGGCCAAAAGAACAAACGTGTATGTCTTGGAGAAGGTGCAGCCAGAGGGCTCCTTGGAGGCTCGGATGGGGGCTCTGTGTCACATACTTCGGGCATGTTGCTAAGAGAAGCTGTTCCTTGGAGAAGGACTTTATGCTTGGAAAGGTGGGAGAGTGGAGAAGGAGAGGAAATGGGCTTGAGTGTGCCAGAGATTGTGAGGCTGGCAGAAGGCTGGACAGACTTCATATCTGTTTCAAAGGATCACTGTGCATTGTTCTCAATGGCACCTAACAACAACGAGAAAAACGGAAAATGTCCGTTTTACCTGTTTTTCTGCATATGCGCTTGCTTGGAGAAAGCAAGCCTTGGTTAGAAAGTTTATTATCTTGTCAGCCCTTTACTCTGGTGTAATACCTTCTGCTTTGGCCTAATTAGTCTTTTCTGGCTGGTTTTTACCACAGTTCTTTGTTCCGCGTTCCTGGCTAGGGTCTGGTGTTTGTCATCCGTTCCTTGGCCGCTCCCTGATCCCTCTGTCTTGTGGAGATCTCCTCAGCCCTGGCCAAATTCTGTCCCTAACAACCAGGTCTTTCTTCCAAGTTACCTCTGGGCGGACTTAAACTGCCAGACTTTTGTCTAGCAGTCCAGCATTTAGCCATTTGTACATATGTGATGTATTTAGTATGCGGCCAGATACAGAGTGTGCCCTCAGTACCTGTGGGTAGAAAACCAGGAAAAGAAGAATCTGCATTCTCGAAGATAAAGGTTAATATTTTCTTCCTCCTCTTAAGCACAGAATTTGACATTAACTGCTTTATCCCACATTTACCTAAGGCTCCTTTATTCCTCATTTATAACATTTGCTCCCTAACTTCCTTAGTAAAGTCTGCAAACTCTTAATAATCTGGAGCTTTACTGCCTGTAAGACAAGCTCGGCTACTGACTCAAAGGCTGAACCCCTCTGGCTGCTGGAGTCCACTGGGGGGCTCTGCAAGATAGAGATGGACAGTCCTGGGCAATTTGGAGCCTGGGGAAGTCACTGGAGGGTCAGCTATGGCCCTGAACCTCAGGGTGGCTATGCGTTTTGAGCTTTGACCATCTCTAAGCAATGGCAACAGGAACGATAGGAAGCCTCATTTTTCTTATATGTAAAACAGGGTGGAATATTAACCACGTCTTAATGTTGATTGGTCAAAAGACTCAACACTTAGCCTTAATGTAGAGAGCATAAGGATGCAGTGAATCTCATTAGGGGCCGTCTCTCATTTTGCTGTTCCAACAAATCCTTTTGAGCAAAGTTGCTTAATCCCGGTGAAGCCACATGCTAAGGTGTATTCTTGCCCAACCACGGTGATGAGGGGACCTCTGCTTTTCTCGTTTCAGACATTCCTCCAGGTGGTCGGAGTGGTGGCCGTGGCGGTGGCCGTCATCCCATGGATCGCGATACCCTTAGTGCCTCTTGCTGTGGTTTTCTTCATCCTCCGGCGGTATTTCTTAGAAACGTCGAGAGATGTCAAGCGTCTGGAATCCACAAGTGAGTATTAAGGGATTCAGATGGGCATGGCGATGCAGACTGCTTTTTATGCCATTATTACAGGGACCTCTGAAGTTCTAGGATGACACCTTTCAAAAGTTGTCAAGTTCCTATTTGGCCATTGACTCCTGTGTAATCCCTGAGTCAGTGTGGACCTCGGGGCACAGGGAACTTGGGGGTGCCAGGCGCAGTGCTGACCTAGCATGGGGCAGAAATGAAAGATGAATGGAATGAAGACGGTTTCACCTGAATGTGGGCACCAGGAACACAGGTCATGTGTTTATTTTTTCACGACACGCTGCCTTATACCGAGAATGGGCTCTGGAAATACTTTTCAAAGAAAATATTTGCTGTGTGAAACTGGAGCTCTGGTGGCCTAGTGGTAAGGTGTTGCTCTGCCAGCCCAGAAGCAGATGGTTCGTATCTACCATCTGCTCCTCAGGAGCGGGCAGTCTCCTGCTGTACAAGTAACACCTCTGCTGTGCACGTAACGCCTCGAAAGCCTGGCGGTTCAGCTATGAGTTGTTTCCAATTCGGTGTCACATAGCAACAACCGCATGTGAGAATTAAGCAGAAAAAGGAAAATGGTGCATTTTCCTGTCACTCAAAATACTAGAAATGGCAAGGCAGGGAAAGGATTAAGAAAAAGAAAGGAAGCTTCAAAGAACCTAATCACATTTCAGAATTAATTTTCCAAAACTATATTGCTTTCACATACGAGGGGAAGAACTAATAAGCTACAGTTATTAAATAATGCAGAAAGGATGAAGCATTGTTACTTCCAGTTTTGCTCTTTATTGTCACAAATATTTGGGTACAGTGCCACCTGCTTAAGAGTTACTAAGTGAAAAATTAGTGGTAGCAATCTACCAGTTGCTTTTCTAGAGAAAGATGAGATGTTTCCTACAGTAAAAATTTACAACCTTAGAAAGCCTGGGAAGAGTCGCTGTGAGTTGGAATCAAGTCACTGGTGGTGGGTTTGATTCGTTTGTTCACATTGTTTGTGCACCCGCACAGTCTGCTCCTGTGAGGGGCCCCTGAAAATAATGCCCCTGGGAGCACACGGGAAGAGGGAGTCAGTTTAGAATGCAATTAGTCAATTAAGTACAGTCAACTTCCTAATTTTGGAATAATGGGAAAGGCATTGAATGATTGATCACTCTATTCTCCAGATAATCACAGAGGATGAAATCATTCAGAGTGCACCTCATTATAAATGCATATGCTAACATTTCCTTCTTATTAAAAAGAAAGATCACCAGGCAAGTAGTATTGTTAAACAAAGGCTTAAGGGTGATAGGGAAGAAGTAAAGGAAGAAATTTGCATCAGAAAATATCACCTGTGAAAAGGTACAACAAAGGATCTTCAGTATGGCTTTCTGTAAACCAGCCCAGGAAGAGAAGCATAGTGGGTTTCATAGTTCTGAATATCTGCTAAACACTAGTTCAACAGGACAAGAGAGTTTTTGTTATAGCGTATGTGTGTTTCTCTTTCAAGAGATGTTGAAGAGGTACATTTATCTTGTTTGTGTAAGTGAGCAGCAGCTTTATAAAAACTATAGAAAAAATATTTGCATCAACAACAGACCATCTAAGCCACTGTGATGTCTAGTTTTGTGAATAGGTTTCCTTAGGAGGCTGGGCAGTGGAGGCCAAGCTGTGCCCGCATTCCCAAGACACTTCTCAGTGTGTGTATCATTGATTCCAACCAGTTCTGTTGTGTATGTAGCAAGGCTTCAGACATCTATCATTTAAGGACACTTATAAAATGCAGTCATTCAGCAGTTTTGGTTGAAAAGAGGTCTTAACGTATACTCAATAAAAGTGGACTCAGAAGGAACACCTTGGATTTTTGTCTGGGGTAGATCCACTCTGCATCCATATGGGTTGAGACAAGAAGTCTTTCTTTGGCTTTCTTAAGATGCAGTGAAGGGACCTGCCCCTCCCTCCCCTTTTCCACCCTTAATAAGAAGAGTACAGCCATGCACTGGTTGCTCTGCACTCCAGCAACACTCAGGGCACGCAGGACAATTAAAACTTTAGAAGATGTGATCCAAGCACAAGCAGGAGAGATTCTCACCAGGCTGTGAAAGACCAAAGAGGGCAGCTGTGTAGACATCCTATGGACCACCCACTTGCCCCACCCTGGATAGAGGGAGTGCAGCAGTCGGAGGAAACATCTCAGATCGCACTGTGGGCCACTAAGGACAGTTAGAAACCTTAGAAGAGGGAGACAGCACTCAAGCAAGATTCCTGCACAGCTGCACTGCAGACCAGAAAGAAGTTCAAGGTCTTTAGAAAGGTGAGCTTTCCCATTGCACAAGACCAGAAAGGACTCCTGGTATAGCAAGTTGCCCTCCTCCATAAAGGGAATACTTTAAGTTTGCAACTAATCAATAACATCATAAAGATAAAGAACTATCAACAACCTACACAGACACAGTAGAAACAACCTAACACATACCAAGAAAAAAAATTCATGTACTGTCAAGAATGCAGCAGACAGCTTCAAACATTGTGAAAAACCAAACAAGCCTTCTCCTAAAGAAGCAGATCATACTACAGACCTAGTGAATACCTCAGACACAGGGAGGTGGAAGAAGTACAATGAAACAGTTATATGAACGGATAGTGAAAGAAGGGACAAATGATGGAAGAAAGGAAGGAAGCCTTAATTGAAGCAAATACTCCAGAGACAAAGAGCTAGAAGAAATATTGACAAGGAAGAACATGAACAACTACAGAAGAAATTGCAAAAGATGGAAGAAAGAATTTAATAATAAGATTAAGAGGTGGTGGTTGTTGTTCTGTGTAGTCTAGTCACCTATGACTCATAGAGACCTGACGTACAACAATTCTGAAGCCTGCCCTGTCCTTATTCAGTCTCACCGATTCCAACACACCTACCCACATTGTCCCAGTTACTGTATCAATCCATCTTATCCAGGGTCTTCCTCTCCTGTGCTGTCCCTCCACCCTTCCAACTGTGATGTCCTTCTCCAAGGACCAGTCCCTCCTGGCCATGTGGCCAAAGTATGTGAGATGAAGCTTCAAAATTCTAGCCTCCAAGGAGAAACTTGGTTTCACCATCTCCAGGACATAACCTATTTGTTTTCTTGGCAGTCCATGTTCAGTACTCTTCTCCAGCACCACAACTCATAGTCATCAATTCTTCGTCTGTCATCCTTAGTCCTTGTCCAGCTCTCTGATGCATAGCAAGTAATTGTGAAGACTAACACCTGAATCAGGCGCACCTTAGTCTCTAGACTGACATCGGTGCTTCTCAGTACTCTAGAGAGTTCCCTGACTGGTGATTTTCCCAGAGCAATTCATTTTTTAATTTCCTGACTGCTAATGCCAAAAGTGTTGCTTGTAGACCTGAGCAAGCTGAAATTGTTAACAACCTCAATCTCTATCTATTATAAAGCTGCCAGTTGGTCCAGTGGTGAGAATCAGTGGTGTTTAAAAGGGGCAAAAACTTAAAAACTCTTCACAATTCAGAGAGTACAGCCGTAGTAAGTACGAGAAATAACAGAAATGCATGAAAATGCAATCCCAAATGACAAATGTTTCCAACATGATAGAGGGAGAAAGAAAGTAGCACAGAAGAGATGAGAGACAAGAATCTCAATAGGAACGTAGTAGAAGAAGAAGCAGAGAGGTGAATGAAGAAAACTTTAGAATCATGTGGGATAGCATCAAAAGGAACAATATACTTATGATCAGAATTCCAGAATACGATGGGGACTGGGAACCACTGAGAAAATGATGGAAATGCTGATAGAAGAAAATTCCCAGGTATCCTGAAGAAAAGAGGAATCCACATTTAAGAAGCTCAGTAAACTCCAAACAGACTAGACTCCAAAAGAAAAACACCAAGACAAATCATAGTCAAATTCCCCAGAATCAAAAAGTAATGAAGGCTCTTATCCATACTTAAATAGCTCTCCCTTGAAGCTTCCAGTATCTTATCAGGCACAAGATTTTTACCTGGAGATCCCAAGAACTCTTGCACAGCCTCCGTAGAACATTTGCGTTTTCCGTTAGTGAGTTTGACTGGAACAGTGACTGAAATACAAATGTCTTCTCCTCATCCCCCTAGATAACTGGATGTGATATGTTGATTGTTGTCCATCTAGGCCATTGGACTGTATAAGTGACAGTTCCTCTGCTTTCTCTAAGCAATAGCTGACAGATATATTCAGCAGTGGCCTGGCACATTCACACAATGGAATACTATGCAGCATACAGGAGCAATACCTTTGTAAATTATTACCTAACTTGGGAGGGACTGGAGAGCATTAGGCTGAGTGAGTTTACTTAGTCCCACAAGGATAAATATTGTATAAGCCCATTATTGTAGAAGGAGTATAAGGATCCAGGAGGGGTGGGAGAGGCTGGAAGCAGAGGGATGTGGATGTACAGGGGGAAGAGGGGATTAATCATTGGGTTGTACAATTTGATGGGTGGAGCGGTGAGGGAAATTGAAAGAATTTGTTTGAATTTGTATTGTTGTTGTTGTTATGTGCCGTCGAGTCGTTTATGACTCATAGTGACCCCATGTACAACAGCCCTAAACCCTGCTCTATCCTGTGCCAATCGCACTGTCTCTGACACTCCCATCCCAATTATCCCAGTCACTGAATCAATCCACCTTATAGAGGGTCTTCCCCTCCTGCACTGTCCCTCCACCCTACCAAGCATGATGTCCCTCTCCAAGGACCTGTCTCTCCTTACAACATGTCCAGAGTATGTCAGACGAAGCCCCAGAATCCTTGCCTCCAAGGAGTAGCCTGGTTTAACCCTCTCCAGGATGAATCTGTTTGTTTTCTTGGCAGAAAATTTGTGTTAGATTTTTGTAAATAAACTAGTGGGGGAAAAAAAAATATATATATATGTATATATGTATATGTGTGTATATATATATATATATATGTATATATATATATATATATATATATAAAAGGGTAATAGTTTAAGTTTTAGAAATTTATTCAAGATGTTGTTGTTTTGTTATGTGCCGTCGAGTCGCTTACGACTCATAGCGACCCTATGTACAACAGCCCTAAACTCCACTCTGTCCTGTGCCAGTCGCACTGTCTGTGACACTCCCATCCCAATAACATACTTGTTATGTTATTCAAGATAAGGAAGTATTAAACATGATTCTCAAAATACTTATACTAAGAACTAATTAAATAGGAATAGCAGGCATATGAAATATCATGCTAAAAAAAAAAACAAACAGAAAACCCCAAGGGGCTTCATTATTGTTTCACCTCCACAAAGGAACCATAATGTTGAGTCAAATCTTAACTTGGTGCCAGTCCTATGAGACAGAGCAGAATTGCCTCAAAAGAGTTTCCAAGACTATAAATCCTGACAGAAGCAGGCTGTCTACTCTTTCTCTCGTGGAGCAATGTGGTGAGTTCAGATCACTGTCAGCCTGGTGGACTAACACAGTGATTCACATGCATCAGAGATAATGAACGATGAGCCTGGCACAGTGACCTGTAGCTCACTAGGAGTTATACTCGACTCTGTGATAATCATGTGTTGTGTACAGGTAGAGTTACTGGGACACAGAGATTTTTATACCTACCAGAAGTCCAGGCTGGGTTTAGAAGGGGTCATGGTACTAGAGATATTGTAGCTGATGTTAGATGGATCTTGGCTGAAAGCAGGGAATACCAGAGGAATGTCTGTGTTTCATTGACTATGCAAAGGCATTTGACTGTGTAGATCATAACAAACTATGGCTGACTCTGAGAAGAATGGGAATCCCAGAACACTTGATCGTTCTAATGCAAAACTTATACTTGGACCAGGAGGCAGTTGTCAAAACAGAGCAAGGGAACACTGCATGGTTCAAAATTGGGAAGGGCGTATGCCAGGGATGCATCCTGTCTCCATACCTTTTCAACCTATATGCAGAACAGATTATCCAGGAGGCTGGGCTCTATGAGGAGAAATGTGGGATCAAGATTGGTGGACGATTTATCAACAATCTGTGTTATGCGGATGACACAACCCTGCTTGCTGAAACTGAGGAGGACCTGAAGCGCCTGCTGCAGAGTGTCAAGGACTGCAGCCTCCAATATGGATTGAGGCTCAATGTCAAGAAGACAAAGATTCTCACCACTGGACCAATTGGCAGCATCAGGATGGATGGTGAAGAGATTGAGATTGTACACAGCTTTAGTTTGCTTGGCTCCATAGTCAACAGTCTTGGCACCAGTAGCCAGGAAATGAAAAGATGTGTTGCAATGGGAAAGGCTGCTGTTAGGGACCTTTCCAAAGTACTGAAGAGCAATGGTGTCTCTTTGGAGACTAAGGTGCATCTGATACAGGCCATAGTCTTCGCAATCACTTGTTATGCATCGGAGAGTTGGACAGTGACCAAGGAGGATTAGAAGGAGAATTGATGCCTTTGAGCTGTGGTGCTGGAGAAGAGTATTGAGAGTACAGTAGACTGCTAGGAAAACAGATTTGTCCTGGAAAGGGTTAAACTGGGTGGCTCCTTGGAGGCAAGGATTCTGAGGCTCCGTCTAACATACTTTGGACATGTTGTGAGGAGAGACCGGTCCTTAGAGAGGGACATCATGTTTGGGAGGGTGGAGGGACAGCACAGGAGAGGAAGGCCCTCTATGAGGTGGATTGATTCAGTGACTGGGATAATTGGGATGGGAGTGTCAGAGACAGTGCAATTGACACAGGATAGAGCAGGGTTTAGGGCTGTTGTACATAGGGTTGCTATGAGTCACAAGCGACTCGACGGCACATAACAACAACAAACAACCCTCAAGGAATTAATGCATGAAGGAAAGAGACACATAAATGCTGTTCTCACTATTGTCATCGCGTCGACTCATAGCCGACCCTCCAGCAAGTTTACAGAGGCAGTAAATCACACAGTAGAACATTGCCCATCTGTCTGCCAGTGGATTTGAACCACATACCTTTGCTTTGGAAGCACAATTCCTTACCACTAAGCCACCAGAGCTCTGACTGTTAAGTGCTGTCAAATCATTCCAGCTTGTGGTGAACCGGTGGCCAGAAGAACAAATTCTAGCACATTCTTCTGCCATCTTAATGATCATCAATATGCTAAATTCTGTTGATGTGGCCACACTGATGTATACTTATGTGCCTTCCAGCCTAGAAGACTCATTTTCTAGTATTATATCAAATATCATTCTGTGTGGTCCTCAAGGTTTACATTGACTCATTTGAGAAGTGTTGGGGAATGTTGAGGAGGAAGGGAGGGCCTCTGGCCAGGACAGATTGCCTAAGCTCCAGATAAGTGCAAGCTTCCCAACGGCCTTTAATACGGGATAGAGAAAGCTCCCCTGTGTTTGGCTGTACTGGCTTGAGAAAGCTCACCACCTGGGAAGACAGCTGCTGCGTCTGTTGAGCTGGGAGTGGTCCCCACGAGGCTGAGGTTCTCCTATCCAATCTGAATGCCCTACGTCTACAAGCCCACCCAATCCTGCCTTCCTGTGTATATAAGTGCACTGCAGATCCCAATAAAATTGAGCTGGATTGACTCTCTGATCCTCTCCCAGATTGGTGTATCTCTGTCATGCTTACCCCCATTGGGGTGTCGCTGCTAAGTTGCTGGCAAATTGACAGTGACAGAGAAGTCCATTGTCAAGCCTCTCTTCCGGTTCTTAGTCTGGAAGATCCACTGAAACCTGTTCATCATCAGGGTGACCCTGTTGGCATTTGAAATATCAGTGGTATAGCTTCTTGCATCACAGCCATGTGCAAGCCACTGTAGTATAATAAACTGACAGACAGGTGGTAGATTCATATGTCTAGCTTATTATAGTTAAGTGTGGTGAGGATCTTAACAGAGAATTGGGTTTTGGTTTTTTTTAAAAAATGCTGCATATTAAAAAATTATTCTTGTCATGTACTGTCAAGTCAGAACTGACCCATAGCTGACCCTCCACCTGGTTTTCAGAAGCAGTTAATTTACATGGGAGGAAATTGCCTCTCTTTCTCCTTAAGATCACCTAGTGGATTTGAACCACTTAACTTTGGGTTTACAGAAGAATTCTTTACCATTAGGCCATCAGAGCTCCCTTACTTTAAAAAGTAGTTCTTTCTGGCTAGATGGCTGTCACAGAATAGTAGTAGAGAGATCATGCTTGACTAGGATCTTGAATTTGAGTTCACAAAATAAAAAATGTAGCTAGATATGCATTTGGTCAAAGATTTAAACAGAGACCATTATTTCTATATAATTAAAGTGAAGTGAAGTTCTTGCCAGAGTTTGAAGGTGGACATGGAGTGTTCACCCCAGAGGGACTATTCTTCTCCTGTTTCTTCTTGAGATGCCCCGCTGGCCAGCCAGCTTGGAGCCCTGGATGTGGTAGTGGTCATGTGTAACGTAGCTTGGGAGGCTGCTGCCTTCATTCCGTTTCACCTCACTGAGCTTTCTGTTTTTGTGTATGTGTTTCCTTCTCAGCACGAAGTCCAGTGTTTTCCCACCTCTCGTCTTCTCTTCAGGGACTGTGGACCATCAGGGCATACAGAGCTGAAGAGAGGTTCCAGGAGCTCTTTGACGCACACCAGGATCTGCATTCAGGTCTGTACATCTGGAGTTTGATGTCCCAGCAGGAATGATGCTGCCGCTCTAGGCTTGATCTCCCTCCTCAGGTGACCTTGTGGTCTGCACACCTCCCTCTTCCCCTTGGGTGTCTCTCCTCTTGGATTTGTGGCTGCCTGTCCCCTCTTTCCCCTTCAAACCACTGCTCTCCTTCCCCTGACTAGCTTATAGACTACTCCTTCTCCTTCTCTCTCTCCACCCTTATTTTTCCCTATAGTGCATGGAAAATGCTTTTTAAAAGGGGGCAGGTGAAATGTTTGAGGCATTCTAGGTATGATCAGGTAGTGTCTTGGATGCATCAGTTTATCTCTGTTGTGTGAAAATGGGCACAGCTAGCATGTCAGCAAATGGTCGTGGCAGTGTTCCAATAAATCTTTATTAACAATGACAGCTTTGGAACTGTTCTAGGCCCATTTTAGAGCATTCAGAGTTGAAGAAGTGACTGAGGAAATGAAAGATTTTCTGATTACCACACTCCATAGTCATTTGATATGTGTAAAGAAGCCTTGATAACAGAGCCATATAACGCTGGGCTGCTAGCTAAAAGGTCAGTGGTTCAAATCCACCAGACACTGTGTGGGAGAAAGATGAACATTCTCTTCCTGTTAGAGTTACAGCCTCAGAAGCCCAGTGGAGGGTTGATAGGAGTTCGAATGGACTCAGCAGCTAATAGTTGACATTTTCTTGTGACTGGAGTTTGTTCCTTTCAGAAATGTCAGGCTTTTCTCTTCATTTACAAATTCCTGACCAGTTTCTGTAGTTATTATTGTGTTCTGAGGAGATGGTACAGCTTTGAACACTACATATAGATTCACTTAGTCAGATGGTCATTCAATTACTGGTCCCTAAGGAATAGCCTCTGTGTTTCAAGGCACTGTGGTAAGTATGGAAGGTGGTAAAAACAAATGGGCAGCTGCTTTCTGTGTTATTGGATTAGTGGGGACAGTGAACTGTGTGGCCCCGAGGCCTAGCCCTACAAGAAATGCAGGCAGGAGGCTGTTCCCCGTGTTTCTGTTTATAACCTCTGGGTTGAATCTTCCAGCGCATGCTTCCCACAAAGCCACTGTACGTTTCGTGTAATGTGTACCATATCCTGCCTTGTACCACTTAGCTCTCTGGAATCCCGGGGTTCCGTGGGTGTGCAGCCCCACGCCAGCTGTTAAATTGCAGCCCTACTCTGTGTAAAGATCTTCTGCGGCTCAGCAGAGAGCGAAATGCTCTCCCACGGTCGATGCAGTTAATTTGGTTATTCTACTCATTCATTATGCCTATTATGTTTCCTAACATCCAGAGGCTTGGTTCTTATTTCTGACGACGTCCCGATGGTTCGCCGTGCGTCTGGACGCCATCTGTGCCATCTTTGTCATCGTCATTGCCTTTGGGTCCCTGATCCTGGCAAAAAGTAAGGACAGATGTCAGTAACTATTTATGGTATGATTACAATTTATAGCCGTGTTTGCAGTTATTAAATTAAACTCCTGCCACCTTGTCTAATATTACATACCGTTTGGTTCTAATGATGGGTTCTAATGAATTGCATTAAAGTGCTTACAGGGTGTCAGGTTGAATGTGATTCAGCAGCGGGGCCAGATGAGAGCAGGCGTTTTATCTGTGTTTGAATGGATGGGGGCGGCATTCTGAATATTCCTGGTGGTGCAGGAGGTTGTGGGGAGAGAATGAAGCCTATGGTGAAGCATTGGGGCCCAGGAGGGTTTCCACTTTTAGGGCCTGAGTTATCAAAAGGTGCAAACTGTTGCCTCGGGCACTGGATTGATAAAGACTTTCCGTAGAAACAAGTGTTCCCACCACTGCAGCACGGGTTCCAGATGGTGGTGGCATGCGTGGCATATACTCTCCACCCCTTACGGTCCCTCTGTAACTCCACTGAAGTATGTTTGGTGACAAATGGCACAGTGAGAGGAGTAGTTGAGATTCAAAAGTATTGGCTAGTGGAACCCTTTCCTTGTTTTCAACAGCGCCTGACTAGTATATTGTATATGCTGCTGTTGTTGTTGATGCCATTGAATTGGAACCGACTCATAGCTGACCCTCCATCAGCTTTTTCAGAGGCTGTTACTTACACGGGAAGAGGTTGCCCTTCCTTCTCCCCCAGAGCACATGGTGGGTTTGCACTGTGGGCCTTTGGGTTTGCACCACAGCTTCTCACCACTAAGCCATCAGAAAATGGAATTAGGTATTGGCCCTTGGAACCATAAAGACAAATGCCTGAAATAATGGCCTTGTTCTCCATGTACTCAGTCCATACCAGTGCTGTATGGTAAAACCCTGCAAGGCACTGGCCCCTGGCTATCAGAGCAGAAGTGGACTGAGACGTTTTTCAGTGACTGATTTTCCACAAGTCGATCCCAGCTCGCTCTTTGGAGACTCCTTTCTTCTGAAACACTGGAGGTAGACTCAGACCTCCAACCTTTTGTGCTGTCAGCAGCCAAGCGTGCTGCCTGTTTGCACCCCGCCCTTCCCCACCCCCCACCCCAGGACTTCTCGTGTATGATACTGGTTTTCAGATGTCTGTCGATCTTGTTGTTGTTGTTCTGTACCATCACGTCATTAACCGGCTGACAGCTGCCCCTCCAGTGGGGTTTGTAGCAGCAGTAAATCACATGGGAGGAGACTAACTGACAACCATCGTTCTCCATGGAGCACTTGACAGATTTGAACTGAGTACCTTCCTGTTGCCAACCCAGCCCCTTAGCATTAGGCCACTGGAGCTCCCCATTGAGATTAGTGAAATCATTACATTTTCAATTTGATAGTCTTTGAATTCACAGTGGCTCCTTTCGTTGTCTAACCAGAAGTTCAGCGGGTTTGAATCCACCGGTGACGATGCAACAGAAGGATGGATGTCAGTCTCCTGTAAAGATGTGTGGCCTCAGAGAACCGATGGAGGCTCACTGTGGATTAAAATCCACTTGATGGCAGTGGATTTTTCCACCTTCTCACAGTTGGAATCAGTAGATATTACAACTGTTCTCATATGACTCTGCACATTGTCTAAACATTATAGCGATTCTTTTGGTAAAATGACAGAAGGGTGAGACTTGGGGGCTAGGAATGGGACTGACTGTGTACCCCTTCTTCTCCTCTTAGCGCTGGATGCCGGGCAGGTCGGCCTGTCTTTGTCCTACGCCCTCACACTCATGGGAATGTTCCAGTGGTGCGTTAGACAAAGCGCTGAAGTTGAGAATATGGTAATGTTTATCTTAACATTCTTAGCCTTTTCAAGTCTCCTTGCCATTAAATGGCATAAAAGCAATTCTTATGTAAAATATTAAAACTGTTATTTTTGCATCGTAGCTAACAGAGTTTTTTAGATCCTTCCCCCCATCTGTTTAAAGTTAATGTAAAATAAAATATATACATCTTTTTCTCAGTCTTATGTGTGCTATGTCAGCAGGTTTCCTATTCATCACAAGCTGTCTTCAAATATAATAAATGTCTCTGTAGGAGGGAGGCTCTGAAATACTACAGAGGATATAAGCTAATTTCTTAGAGGTCTGTTTATTTTTGTTTCTTTGGGGTAATTCCTCGTTCTCAGTAAAAGGAGAATTTTGTATTTTTGAGGTTGTTTGTTTAATTAATAGGAGTCTTTCTCCTCTCCCCCCTCACCCCAAAGCACTTAGTCTCCTCTGTGTCATACAGAACACAAGGCGACTTCAGTTTGTGCCTTCGTTTTCTGGTAGGACCAGCCATTCCCATCCTGTAGTGGTCCAAGATGCCAAGCCCACGTCCCTTATGGTTGGTGGAAGCTTAAATCAGCTCGTAAGGAGCCGTAGGGTTCAGAGGTTACTGCTCTCAGGTGCTAACTGCAAGGTCAGTGGACTCTTAGGGAGGAAGGTACGGTGGTGGCATTGTGGTCCCATAAAGATCACTGGCTTGAAAGCCCCATGAGGCAGTTATGTGTGGCCTCACAGCTTTACTGCGAGACAGACTCAGCTCGTAGTGGGCAGGCTGTCGTCGTACAGATTCCCTCCACGTATGAGCACCTTCTCCTCAAAGGAGGTAAGACTGTTGAAATGAAATCTTTCCCTTTGGAACGGGCTAACTAGTAGACTGAGTATTACTGATCATCCAATTTATTTGGATGTTCTTTAACAATAGATTTAGAAGTACTTTTTTTAAAATTAATTTTAATGAAAGTTTACAGAGACTTAGTGTTTCCAATCATTCATTGTTGCACTTTTCTCCCTGCCCATCTAAAAGTCCTTTTAATAAAATTTCTTTATTTTCTTTTCTGGTGAGAAAAGCAGGTAAATCTTCACATCCATCTAATTCTTCTCATTTTAGTGTAGTATCAAAGAAAGGAACCATTGAGTGAAAGTGTCATAAGACAGTGGAGAAGTATGTAAAACTAGTCACAACTCCTGCTTTTCTTCTCTGAAGAACTGAGACCTGAGTTATCTTTAACCAGCTGTGGGTGAAAGAAGGGTGTTGAGTGGTTTTGCCATCTTTTAAAAAGCATACTGGAGTGTACTCTGGGTAGGGGGCGGGGGGAGAGGGGATTGTATACTAATGAAAGAATTTTTCTTTTCTTTTTCAAAGAGAGGAGCGAACTAGGGGGGAGGGTTGGGCAGGGAGAAAAGTACAACAATGAATGAATGGAGATCCAAAATCTTTGTAAATGTTAATTAAAATTCATTTAAAAAAAGAAAAAAATGAATGCTGTAATTATAAACGAACAAATGAAAAGATGTCTTAGCAGAAAATTTAGAGATCAGTAAACATATATTAAAACAAAAACAAACAAAAAAGCATCCCCCCCTAACGTGTGTGGGTGTCCATCTCTTCCAGATGATTTCAGTAGAAAGGGTGATTGAATACACTGACCTCGAGAAAGAAGCACCGTGGGAATATCCCAAACGGCCACCACCAACATGGCCCCATGAAGGTGTCATTGTCTTTGACAACGTAAACTTCACATACAGCTTAGATGGACCGCTCGTGTTGAAGCACCTGACAGCTCTCGTAAAATCAAGAGAGAAGGTTTGTTTAAAGTTGTCCTGCCTCTTGAAAATGTCAACCCATTGAAAACTGCATTTGCTTGCTTGTTGATTCACTCTGGAATGTAACCCCAGAAATTTTGGTTCCTGTTAAGGATTCTGGGGCTTCATCTGACATACTTTGGACATTTTGTAAGGAGAGAGAGGTCTTTGGTGAGGGACATCATGCAGGGTAGAGTGGAGGGACAGCGCAGGAGGGGAAGACCTCTATGAGGTGGACTGATTGACGGCGCAGGAGGGGAAGACCCTCTATGAGGTGGATTGATTCAGTGACTGGGGTAATCAGGATGGGAGTGTCAGAGGCAGTGCGACTGGCACAGGATAGAGCAGGGTTTAGGGCTGTTGTACATGGGGTCGCTATGAGTCGCAAACAACTCTGCGGCACATAACAACAACCATGGATGCGAATCAGTGCATGGGTGGCCTAGTAAGATTCGTACTTGCCAAGTCAGACACTGGTGGTTTGAATCCGTTGGCTACTCTGTGAGAGAAAGACGAGTAGTCTTCCATCACGCTGTTTGCATCCTCTTGAAAACCCTCTGGAGGGTCCGCTCTGAGTCACTTCCGAGTAGACTGCACTGACTTTGAGTTTATGGATATAAATTAGATCCGTGATACAAGTAATTGTTGGGAATTATTCGTGGCAATGGAATAGTTAGCATCAGAATGTAAGTTAATGTGGAATAGAATATCGGCGTCTTCTTTCCTCACTCTTCATGCTGTGTCTTAGATTCCTGTCGCTGCTGAAACAGAGAGAATAGAAATGTATTGTGTTTCTGGGTCTAGAAATTCAAATGAAGATATCTGCTCTCAGAGCGGGTCCTTCCTTGATCCTAGCCCTGAGCTCTCCTCCCTTCCAGATGGAGCCTTACATGTTCTTTTTCCGTGTTCTTTTTCCGCACTGAGCCTCTTTCAGAAGAGATTAGATTTAGGACCCACCCTACCCCAGCATGACTTCATTAACATAATAAAAGACACTTTCTTTCAAACATATTCACAGATGCAGGAGTTAAGACTTCATCTTTTTCACTAACTCTACATAATTGTTGGTGAAGCACATAGCTTATTAACCATATGCAGGTCCAGTAAGGAGTCAGCTGAAAGGCGTTCAGTACAAGTCCCCCAGCGGCTTCACTGGAGGATGGACAGTCTCAGCCCATGCAATTTACAGCCTCTGAAATCAGTCCCAGTTTGATAGCACATTTCAACAAGAACAGGGTACCTGATTGTAATCAGTTCTATCAGCAGCAGAAGCCAGACAAGACTCTCCCCTGCTCCTGTCACTTTCTCTCCAATATCTAGTCCAATAAATTCTTCCTTTGTTTCCACCACGTCATCCATTGCTCCCTTGTCCCTCGGCTTTTTCACAGCCTTACTGTTCTACTTGGTTGTCTAATCCTTGTCCTCCTCCTCACCCTCTGACTAGGTTTTGTTGGTTTGCTTTTCCTGGTACACAGCCCTGATTCGTAGCCACCTCTTTGCTAGTCCATGACCTTGGTGAGCTCCCTTCTGGTCCCCTCAGATCCCCCAGCACCATTAGCGGTCAGGACTGAGAGACTTGCCAAAAGTCAGTTAACAGAATGCCCGGAAGGGCTGAGGATGATGCTGGTGGGGGCCTGGGGGTCTGTGAGCTGATTCTGCCCGTGTCTGAGGTGGCCAGCGGAGTTCCCGCACACTTCACTCGCAGCCCTTGGCTGACATGAGCCAGGCTCTTGAAAGAACAAAACTAGAACAGCTAATGTAATAGGATGCTGCCTCCCATTCTGGCTTGGACTCACACATACACTCAGGACTCCCTGTTTCCTTCATGTCTCGTGCACCCGTAGCTCTTGGCCAACACACATCCCTCTTCCTGAGGTACTATTATGCCCTCCCTTTATCTGACTGTGACAGGTGCTCCTTTTCTGTCAGTTTAAGTATCTCCGCCTCCGTAAAAGCCCCTGATCTCCCACATGGTCCTTTATGTTCTTTCAAGATGGCCTTCATGGCACAGCTGGTCCGTACGGGGCTGCAGCTCTCCCTGCCCGAGGCACTTGGGATCAGAGAGCATCACACTGTTCATATTTGTTCCCCAGAGAAGGGTCTGGTAAGTAGCCTACAGTCAGTGCTGAGCGACTGTTTGCTCTGTGGTTGAGTAATGTGCAGACAGAAGAAATTAGCAAGACGGAAAACACATAGCAAGACATACGTCTAGTTTTTGTTGTTTGCCATCAAGTCGGAACATAGCTGACCCTCTAGGCGAACTTAAAAAAAATAAAGCAAATCTCACTGCAAGAAATTTTCCATCTTTCTCCTGAAGCAGCTGATGGATTCGAACTAGATGCCTTTGGGATTGTGACACAGTATCTTACTACCACATCTCCCTATACCCCCAGGAAACAACCCATTCATTATCTTGATAGAAGTGTTAAATACGTTAAGAAGTGCTCTTTAAAACTCTCGTTCCCCCACAGGTCCATTTAGTGGACTGTAGTAAGTTAATGAATGATACCCTGTGACATGGAAGAATAAATGTACCACTTACGTCCAGATGATACCCAAGGAGACGCTTCAGTAGGTCCCCTGGCAAAAGCTGAATCCTAATTATTTCCACTGTTTGATTGTGGATTGAGAAGAAAATAAGAGCTACGGTTAGGGCAAACGTTAGCTGCAGCTTTGAGCAAAGTAGTGCCTTTCCCTTTCTGTCCCTGAAAGCACCGTAAGGAATCCTTGCTTACTCCCAGACAGCGTGTTTACATTGTAAGCATAATCCTGTTAATTTGCATGCGCCTGAAATTTCCCATGGAGCAATAAAATACGAGTTATCTAAGAAGCGTTGTCGTACAACTTGGAAAATACATCCTGGCATTTAGATTTGTATTCTTTGATCTTACAAACCCCCAAATCGGTGGGCAATAATCTCAGATCATCTGCGATTCTAAAAATGTTGGAGGGTAAATTGAATTTGGAGATCTGAATTATAAGAACCACAGTGACTTGAGTTTTGATTTGTTTGTGGGCTCCCTGGCGCTGGCCCATTTCCCCTGTTTGTGTATTTAGAGATTGTATTCAGGCAGCATCGTCGTGAAATAATTGCACTCTCTGCATATGTGTATCGAGGTTGCTGCTTCCCTCCACCTGTACCCACCAGGACACCCCGTGGTGTGGGATTGATTGAGAGAGGGCACAGGAATGTGCTGACAGAGCACAAATGCTGCTTTATTTCCTTTAAATTGTTTCCTCTGCTCTCTGGATTTCTGGAAGTTATCAGTAACAGGAAAATGTAATAGGCACTAAACAGTCTTCTAATTCATGGAAGAAACACCAGGTAAAAATAAAGAGTCAGAATGAGGTAAATACCACTCTAGGCTTCCTGGCTAAAGTCTAAACACAGGCTGCATTTTTCATTTAGATGATTTTGTGGTCGATTTGATCGTTTTAGTGAGTGCTGGGCCATTTGAAGACATTTTCCAGCTCTGGAGTGAGATTGATTTGGGTTGGTTATTTTTTTTTTTTTCCTACTTGCTCAGAGCTATTACCTGGATAATACATTTTTACAGGTGTGTACTAGACCTTGCTATAATGTGCAAAAATATTAGTTTCTTGCATTTTCTCCCTTTCCTCCCCGCCACCCCACAATATTTTCTTAGAAACCCTTCCCCTCATGTCCTGATTGCCGCCCTCTCCCTGCCAGCTTCCCAGGTCCTCTCTGCTCAGACTTGCCTCTTGGATCAGCTGCTGCATCACCCAGGACTGGGTGGAAAGAGAGTCCCAGGCCCTCCACATTGACGTGTGAACAGATGAGGTGTGCACACATTTGCATTCTCTAAGCCATCGCTCTCCCGTTGGCTATTTTTTATGATTGACAGCCCCAGACTTCTCCTTTGACAATTTACAGTTGAGCAAATGACTTGCCTCGACCTCTTGGTTGCAAAATGGGACTTTCTAGAAGGTCCTGTGCCACTTGCTATCCTCCAATGGTGTTACTGTTATAAGCTGAAAGTTGGGTGCTCGTTCTGAGTCTATGAATTTATGAGCCCCTTCTCTGTGGAGACAATCTTCTGCCACAGTTCTGCCCAACTTTCCATTCTGCCTTTTTTATCAGTCTTTGTCCCCTTACCAGCCTCTCTTGAACCTGTAAGGATGTTTATGTTCAGGCTCGGCTCCTCCTGGTCCCAGTTGCAGAGTTCACCAGGTTGAAGCAATTATCTGAAGCCTTTTTTTCTTTTTTTCTTTTTTTTTAAATTAATTTATTTATTTGTATTTAGACTTGTGTATATTTTCTGTGATCTGTGATTGTTTCTTTTTATTGTTATTATTATTATTCTTAAATTTAATGAAAATTTACAGAAACCTTGGATTCCCATTCATGCATTGTTGCACTTTTCTCCCTGCCCCTCGTCCCTCCCCCCCATCTCCAGTACATTCTTCTCTTTGAAAAGTAAAAGAGAAATTCTTTCATTGTTTTACAATCCCTCCCCCCAGCTCCACTCAACTATGCACCCTTCATTCTGGACTCCTGTCATGACAATTATACCTAAACATATATCCCTTTTAAACAGTTCTCTCCTTCATGTTTCAATGCAGTATACATTATTTATCCCATCTTTCCCAGTCTCCCCCCAACCCTGAGGTCAGTCCTGTTTTACCACAGTGGCACTATGCAGTATTTGTCCTTTTGTGATTGAGATATTTCACCAGCATAATGTCCTCCAGGGTCACCCATTTGCATAATATTGCATGAGTTCCTTGGTTTTCAATGCAGCATAGTATTCCATTGTGTGAATATACCACAGCTTCTCTATCCATTCGTTTGTTGATGGGCACTTAGATTGTTTCTAACGCCTTGCTATTGTGAACAAAGCCGCAATAAACATGGATGTGCAGAGGCTTTTTTTACATTATTATTTTATTTTTAGAGAGTTAAAAAAAATTATATTGGCTTGCATACAAGATTCATATACATTGTATTTCATCTGTATACCTTGTGCTTCACATATTCCC